CATCCTCCAAGAACCCGGGAGTGAGGGTATGGGCCTGTTGAGCGGCTTGAGCAAGTTCAGCAGTGGACATGGTAAGTGGGAATGGGACGATCGAGGGTGGTGAATGTGCGCGTCGGAATGGGACAATGGTGAATGTGAAATTACGAAGTTGTAAACGCGGTCACGTGGTGGCGTTACTTCAACCGAGATCCGTACAATGTTCAACCGAGATCCGCAGAATGTTCCATGGCCGATCTGCAGTGGCTTGCTTTCCCACCGTTGAAAAACAATGCGTCTTCATCACCAACCACACAGTGCAATCCCAGGAAAAGCTATCTACTCTCTGACTGATATGTCTTTAACAAATCCAGGTATTGTCCCTACTCCACACCAAGGATTGTCTACTTAATGTAGATAAACAGAAGCTGTGATGAAAGACCAAGAAATGAAGGATGGTAAGTTTTATGTACTCTTGTCGGCTGAGCAGTTCTAACCATATCTTAGGAACGGCCGAGGCTCTACCCCCTCTTCAACCAAGTGGTGAGTTCCAGTCAGTGACAGAAAACTAGCCAAACCTAAATTCTGGGTGGCCGATAGGACAGAGCCAAGAATCCGAACTAGTGATGGAAGTGGACGTCCCATCCTCGGCTCCTCATAGATCCATTTTCGATTTCAAAGAACCTACCCCTGCTCTAAGTTCCAGCCCATTCACCCCAGCCTTGGCTCACCAATCCATTTTCGAGTTTAAAGTCGGTACTTCAGCTTTTGCCCCGACCTCGGCTCATCAAGCATCAATGTTCGATTTTCAGCACGTGGGCACTTCAACGAATGTGCCGCCTGTTTCCCCGTCCTCGGCTCATCAGCCATCGATTTTCGATTTCCAGAAGCCTGGCAGATCTCCACCAGCCTCGGCTCGTCAGGCATCGATTTTTGATTTTCAGCAAGTGGGCACTTCAACGAATGTGCCGCCTGTTCCCCCGTCCTCGGCTCGTCAGCCATCCATTTTCGATTTCCAAAAGCCTGACATCCCTGCACCAGCCTCGGCTCGTCAGGCATCGATTTTTGATTTTCAGCAAGTGGACACTTCAACGAATGTGCCGCCTGTTCCCCCGTCCTCGGCTCGTCAGCCATCCATTTTCGATTTCCAAAAGCCTAACAACCCTGCACCAGCCTCGGCTAATAAAGGATCCCCTTTCGATTTTCAAGTCAATCGTTCATTTACCCCGGCCTCGGCTGTTCAGCCTTCCATTGATTTTCAAACACCTGGCACGTCTGCTCCAGCTCCTGCCTCTGACAAACCAGGCATGTCTTCCCCTGGCGCCTCAAGGTCCAATAGTACTCTGGGATCACGGAAGTATCTGACGAAATCACA